CAAACGAGGGGCTGTGACAAACTGTTTATATTGTTCGACGATATATATATACGCATACAAATATAAATATGTTAATACACATGAATTTATACGCATTATGATAAATAAATAGAATATATCGTATCTCAAACAGAGCTGGCCGGTACTATGACGATACATATACATCGTCAAACGTAGGCAGAGAGGTAGGAGACGGAGAAGAGGGAGAAGAGGGAGAAGAGGACAACAAACGAGGGGCTGTGACAAACTCTTTCGTCGGAGTTTCACCGACTCATGAGGAGGATATCGTCTATATATATATATCATATATATATAACAAATCATATATATAAAAAAAGAATAAGAAAAAAGAGAAAAAAAGAAAAAAGAGAAAGAAAGAAAAAAAGAAAAAAGATACGTTGATCTGTGGGATGTGTTATTTGCTTTGTGATAATTGGATTATCTTTCTTTCCCTATCTTTCTTTCCCTGTCAGGTTTGGTTTCCTCCTCCCTTTTTTTTCTTTCCCTGTCAGGTTTGGTTTCCTCCTCCCTTTCTTTACCTCTTTGCCTTTTGGCTGCGTGCAAGTGGGTCCTTGTGACACACGGGGATGGGGGCAGCCAGCGCTCAACCTGTCATCCACGTGGCTGGCCTTGTRCGTAAGAGGTTATGAACAGGTGGASCTTTCCTTACCTCTTCCCCTTCCCCTTTTTTCCTTTTCCTTTTTTCTTTCCCCTTTTGTGCGCTCTGATTCACAATGTGACAATATATAACATATATCGTCACAAAATAATAATATAATATATATTGTCACATGATATCAGAGCGCCTAAGCGAAAAAACCAAAAAAACAAAAAAATCTTAAATTCGTTTTTAATCTTCTCCCTTACAACTTCCCCTGTTCAGAACCTCTTGCGTACAAGGCCGCCCACGTGGATGTAGGTTGAGCGGCGGCTGCCCCCACCCCCGTGTGTCATATCGACCCACTTGCACACAGCCAAAAGGCAAAGAGGCAATTATATTTTTCTGTTTTCTTTTCGCTTTTGCGCTCTGATAACTTTGTGACAATATCTATAAATACATTAATTCACATATCTCCGTACTATGATAATACATATATATATCGTCACAACATATGTACTATGACGATATATATATATATATCGTCAAACAGAGCTCTATATATATTGTCACAAGAATATCAGAGCGCAAATGCGAAAAAAAAAAAGAAAAAAAAAAGAAAAAAAAAAAGGAAAAAATGAATTCAGTTTTTTACCTTCTTCCTTATAACACCCCTGTTCAGAACCTCTTGCGTACAACGCCGCCCACGTTATATTATATATATATCGTCGTAGTGCATATACACAGGATAAAGACAGAAGAAAGTGCGGGATCTCAGCCAGCGGAGGGCTCCGAGGGCAGAGCTGCAAACGTCCTCCTAACAAAGATACAGACTCTAAGGTAACACTCTCTCTCTCTCTCTCTCACACACACACATACACACACACACACACACACACACACACACACACAAACAAACGCACGCATGGACAGTGACAGGGTGCTCCAAAAAGACGGTGGGATGTCCGAAGCGGTGCTTCTTCCCGATCACCCAAGCCGGGTGGAGATTGACAAGGGTTGAGAAGCGCGGAGATGTGGAGAATGGGAGGTAGGAGGTAGATTCTGAGTAGAAAGTCGCCGAGTTTCGCCTCCCTCTCTCTCCCCATACACGACTCTCTCTCCCCATACACGGACCGCGCACAAAGGTCGGGTCTGAGGGAGCTCAAAATCCGACGGCCGGAGATAAATGACAACGACGGCCATGACGAAGGCATTCAGTTCACTGTAGTAAAATAGTAGAAGGGTAAATACGCGGTAAATACTTAGACCGATTATACGCGGCCCGGATCTCATCGTCATCCTCATCCTCACTCTCTGAAGCAGTTCGCCCAGTCGGGATTGTATTTCCGTACATCACTGAAATGATTGAATTCCTTCTGTGCAGAAAAAAAAAACAAGCAAATCAACGTGACGATGAACGAGCGGACGAGGACTCGATCGCAAGACGTACGACGGCGGGAACTCGTGCAACGAGAGAAGAGAAGAGAACTGAAAAAAGCACATCATCAACAACAAACGAAAAAACGGAAAAAAAAAAAAAAAAAGCGAAAAAACGAAGTCCGGCTGAGCTTTCCTCCGGTTGTTCTCAGGATACGATTCTGAATCATATTACCAAAAAAAAAAAAAAAAGATGAAAGAAAAGAATACCATGTCGGAGAGAGATTTTCGTTACGGGGTAGTAATAGAGACTCCAAGTAATAATCATAATAACAATAATAAGAATAAGAATACAGAAATAATACTAATAGTAAAAGAAAAAAAATATATATATATATCGTCAAATATATATCGTCACAAACAGAATATATATATATTGTCACAAGAGTATCAGAGCCCAAATGCGAACATAAAGGGAAAAAAAAGAAAGAAAAACAAGAAAAACCGAATTCAGTTTTTTATCTTCTTCCTTATAACGCCCCCTGTTCAGAACCTCTTGCGTACAAGGCCCCGCCCACGTGGATGTAGGTTGAGCGGCTATATAGTAATCATAGTAATAGTGGAATTAACCACATGACGATTCTGAATCATATTACCAAAAAAAAAAAAAGATGGAAGAAAAGAATACCATGTCGGAGAGACAATTTCGTTACGGGGTAGTGATAGAGACTCCAAGTAATAATTATAATAACAATAATAACAATAGTAATAATAATAATAATAATAATAATATAGTAATAATACTAATAGTAAAAACAATAATAACAATAATAATAATAATATAGTAATATATCGTCACAAACAGAACTGCCCGGTAAAACCGTAGGCAGAGAGAGAGAAGAGGACAACAAACGAGGGGCTGTGACAATAATAATAGTAATAGTAAAAATAACAATAACAATAATAATAATAAAGTTAGTACGGAGCCACTCAATCACCATTGCCGTTGCATTCTCAGATCGAGACCGCGATTCATCTTGTCACTTGCCCACACGGGTCTCTCTCTCTCTCTCTCTTTTTTGAGTAGTTTCACTTTACCTGAATGTCCCCGGCGCTGTGAACTCTCCGCATTCCAAAGGCCGGCATGATGGGCCTGGATGTCAGGTTCTGCAGGTCAGACAGCTTTGGCTGAAGATTGCCCCCCGACGGCCCAAGCCTCGACGAGGTCTGCTCCAACGGCATCAACCTCGAGAAGGACGGCAGCGTCGACTCCGGAATCGACGGCGCAGGTGCGAGCGTGCGCAGCTGTCCCAGCGCATGACTGCTGTGGCTCCTCTGCATTGCGGACATTCCGCCTCCACCTCCTGCCCTCTGCGTAAGACGAAGCGGACGTAAGCAATCTCCCCCGGAGTCGATTCCTCCGCTGGTGCCGGCGGACGACAGCAGGGAGGATTCGTCGCCGCGCACGTGGTTCGTCGGATTGCCCCGCGCAGCGAAACTGCCCCCCGGCTGCTGCATGACCACCAGTCGCCCGGGAGACTTGTCCGCTGGACTGCGCTGAGCCCCAGATAGCGCTGACGACTTCGAATCTAGCGCGCCAGATCCCGACGACGACGACACGAATCCTCCATCGTCCAACCTCTCTTTCATTTCCTCCATCGGCGCGCAACTGACACTTCCCAAAGAATGCGCGGGAGCTGCGCTGCACGTCGTCGGCGACGACGACCCGGTCGCGCCCCCCGCCGCCGCCGCCGCCGCCGCCATCGCGGACGGCGACGGCGGCGTGACGCTCGTCGAGAATGACCCCGCTCTAGTCAACCCTCCCCCCGCCGCCCCCCCAGCGTCATTCCCCTCCCCTTCCACCATGATATCACACTCCTCACCTTCTCCTTCTACTACTCTACCCCCTTCCCCTCCTCCCTGTTGGCCCACCTCCTCCTGCTTCACCCCTGTCACACTGGCGATAGTCACCGCGGCGGTAGCAGTCACACGCGCGAACGTCGCAGGCGTCCTGCCCATCGATGTCGCGAGATCATAAGCGGCACCGCAGCACCCGTTCGCCCCGAAGAAAGAGGACAGACCTCCTCCTCCCCCTCCATTATGTTGCTGGTGCTGCAAGGAAGCCGATGACGACTCTCCCGGTCTCAGACGCTCTGCTGAATCGACGGATACGGACCCTGGCGACACGATCGCTTGCAGATCGACGGGGGCCGCCGAACCAATCCTACGCAGAGTGGTAGTCGTCCCGTTGCTCAAGCCCGCAAAACTCGCCGATTTCTGGAGCATTCCCGTCGGCCCTCTTGGCATCCTGAGCTTCGACGTCTCGAACACGATGGGACCCCCAACACTACCACCTCCTCCTCCTCCTGCTCTCCCTGCGCTCCTCGATTCTGTCACCCCGCAACTGATCCCCAAAGCTCCTAATCGCGCGTATGCTCCTCCTCCTCCTCCTCCTCCTCCTCCCGCTCGCTGCTGCTGCTGCTGCAGTTGGTGCAACTGTTGTTGCTCGAGGGAGAGATCGCTCAGCCTCTCCGACGCCGTGATCGCGGCCCTCCCTGGCGGAGAAGACGCGGGGGAAGATCCCCCCGCTCCGCCTGCACCGTGGGACATCCCTCCGACGACGAACGACGGCGGCCTACCCGCGGAGCCAGCGGTGGCTCCGCCGCGCGTTCCGCGCCCGCTTGTCGTAGGAGATAGCAAGCACTCTATCCCACCATCAGCCGCCCTCGACATGTACACATCCTGCAGCGAGCTGACGAGCGCCGTCTCCGCTCGCGCACCGCCGCTTCCGGGGCTGGTTGCGAAGGAATGGCTCACATAGAGCGGATGCCCGCGCACATTCACAGCTGGGCTGTCCATCTGCACGATCCTCCTCTGCGCTCGCAAGTCACCGCGCCCTTCCCCGCCGCCTCCGCCGCCTATCCCAAATCCCGTCCGCATTCGTTCCGCCCCATTCTCCGCGCTGTGCGGGCTTCCTACACCCATCTTCGCTTTGATGAACGGTGAGAGCGGAGATTCCACACTTATGTCTCCGACTCCTGCGCTGGACGCGACACTCGCGGACCCGGTCGGGTTCGCAGAGACGCCGGTTCCCGGCTTGATGTCTTCATCGACGGCGGAAACGAGCGGACCCGTCGAGCTCGTCTGCGAGAATCCCCCCTCGTTCATTATCTCTGGCGGTGGACTGAGCGGCCCCAGCAACTGATCGTCATCTCCCAGCGAAGCCATCAGGTCGGCTCCCTGGATGCTATCCAACAGCATCCCTGATAGAGCCTGCACAAGAAATTTGGGCAACAAACAATCAGTTAAAGACTGTAAAGAATCAGTCCAGTTAAGGACTGTAAAGAATCCACAGGTAGAAAGTAGCTGCTGTAAAGAATCTAGGCGTTACGCGGAGAGAGTATGGAGGGAGGGAAGACAGAAGAGGGAGGGAGGAGCGACAAAAAAGAGAAAAGTAACAGCTCACGTTTCGAAATGAGCATTTAAACAACAGCACAGACAGCCCCTCTTAAGCTATTGAGATGACTGATCCATAACTAAACTCATCATTCTCAATCAGCCATTGAGATGACTCGAGAATTGAGACCATGCCATCACACCTCTTAAGCTTACATACGTCCTTCCCTTTGGCTGGATTTCCAGCAATCGACTTATTACTTGTACCAAATTTATACGTCTCTCTCTTTTGACCTTTTTTTGTCAAACCCATCGGGGTAGAATCCCTACGTTTTTTATGTTTCCGCGTTATTCGGTCCTTGCCCTTTCAATTCATATCACCTTTTCTCCAGGGAAGACCACTACTTACGTCCCCCCCCCCTCCCCCGGGCCCCCGCTTCCCCTTTTCCAGTACTGAGTGACAAGGACACGAAAGGCATATTCGTGCCCACCACCCACCCTCGTTGCCCCTGCTCTCGGCTTTCACCGCCGAGAGTGGGCGGTCGGCTACCAGATACACAGCGACCGCCGGAACAGTCACTCTGCAATTCCCCAGAATACAACGTACGGTCATTATAGCTGTATTTCGGCTATCTTAAGAGTCTAAATACAGCTAGAATGACCGTACGTTGTATGCGGGGGAAGAAGGTGGTGTACTTCCGAGCAGGGCGGCATCCGGCGTCCCGACGCGCCCCCAACATTCGCTTCGCGGCGGTACGGTACGGGAGAAAGCTCGGCGACCGTTCCGCCACGGAGGGAAGCAAACAGCAAACAAGGAGGCGATACTGCGCCGTGGGTACACAGGCTATGAAGAGCAGCACGGAGGAAATAGAGAGAGAGAGGGGAGCGGCAGCGACTGGGAGAAGAGAGACGACGACGTAAGAGGCGATACTGACCTGAGGTATACAGGCTGCAAAGAGCAGAGCAGTGCGAAGAAGAAGAGTGACGGGAGCGGCAGGCAGCAGCCACAGATAGAAGAGAGACGACGACATAGATAAGACTCCCGAGAGAGAGCGGACCAGCCACAGAGAGAGAAGGGAGAAGACGAAGATTTTCCGATACCGGACCAGAGAGAGAGAACGAGAGCGAGACCCGTGATGAGACTTTTCTCGGTTCATACAATAATTCAATTAAATAAATAAAACAAAGAAAAAAATAAATAAACGACATATTAGTAATATATTGTCACAAGATATCAGAGCGCAAAAGCGAATAAATAAAACAAAGAAAATAAAATTCATTTTTTTTAATCTGCTTCTTCACAGCTCCCCCTGTTCAGAACCTCCTCTTGCGTACAAGGCCGCCCACGTATGGTGACAACATAATTCAATTAATATATATGGTAATTCAATTAATATATAGTAATTCAATTAATATATGGTAATTCAATTAACATATGGCAATACTTCAATTCATATATGATGCGTGAGGTCGACATAATTCGACGTACCGGAATGCTGATGCCATTGTAGGGCGCGATTCCCGCCGCCGTCTGAAGGATCTCGGCGTCGAAATCAGCAACGGCTGAGCTGCTGCCCCCTCTAGACAACAATTCGGTTCCATTGCTGAGCTCGTGGAAGAAGAGAGAGTCGGGATTTGTAAATATCAGGTCACTTTCCGCAGACATCCAGTTCGTCAGTGGAGATGCGCCGGCGCTCGCGAAAGCGCAGCGCGCCGCCGTCGCTCACAAAGTGCGGATGGGCAGAGAGAGGGAAAGCACAGACGGGGAAGCAGAACAGGAAACACGCAAGGGAAGGGGAAAAAAAAAAAAAAAAAAAAAAAAAAAAAGAAGGAAGAAGTCAGCCAGGCGCGATGGCAGCAAGAAGCTCGATCGTCCAATCAGAGTCCCTGATCAACGGTCGACGATCGAACGCCGTCCAACTGCGGCTGAGGTACTATGAAGAGCCTAGGAGCGGCGGCGATTATTGGGTCCCGACCCGGAGTCCCGACCGATATGACGGCTGGTGCAGAGCAAGCCGGGCATCCGAGGTCCGAGTCCCGACCGATATAGCGGCGGCTGCACTGCAGAACAACAAAACCATACACCGACTCCTTTACCTCTCCCGCTCAGATGTCTGTGCCGCACATTGCGCACAACAGACCACCACAAAACACCGGCGAGATTGATGCAGTGTCACACGGAGCGGCTAGATTGATGCAGTGTCACACTGAGTGCCGCCAAATTGCCAACCAGTCCTTCCTCCTGATGCCGCCCGCCTCGCTACGTTATCCTTCCCTACCGCACACCGAACACCGGCGATAACCGAATCTTATATCCTTCTTATACAAGGCTGCTGTCAGTGCTGTGGTACAGTACAGCGCAGTGCAGCAGGTCTGACAAAAAAAAAATCAAGTTCCAACTCTGCCTCTTCTGCGGCGGGCAAGGCAGAGGCGCGAGCGCAAGATTCCTCCACCACGGACAGGCATGTCTTCAGGCTGTGCACGCCAAACCACATCACACCACCACAACTGGCCACGAGAACATCTCTCTCTCTCTCTCTCTCTCTCTCTCTCTCTCTCTCTCTCTCTCTCTCTCTCTTTGTGAGTGTGTGTGTGTGTGCAGATATCACCCACCGGCTGAGAAGCAGATTCTCAGCCAACTGACCGCCGGTCTTGATCGGCAATCATAGGCCTCCCCTGCTTTCTCTCATGGAAAGAAGATAAGTTCCCTTTCGGGAAATCTCCAAGCAAACGCGTGTGTATCTACCCTACTTTCCGTCTATGTGCAGATCTCCACACTTGGTCTACTCGCCACCAGCATCTCTTCCGCTGTTCCTGCTGCTGCTGCTGCTCCAGTCATTTGGCCCCTCTGCTTGATGTCGACGACCCCCTTTCCTCCTCCCAACCCGCCAGCGAACCGATTGCCCACAAAATCGCACTTCAGCTTCTATAACGACCCATCAAGTGGCATCAACCCCAGCAAATCGCGGCCACTAGAATCGTCCGCAGCTGACTGAGAGCCACTAGAATCGTCCGCCCGCCCTGAGCCCTCGGCTGACTGAGAGCCTGGTCGCCTAAGCGCCTTAAGAGAATTCCGTCTCTCTTTCTGGGTCGGTCTCCAAGATACTGAGTGACAAGTTTACAGAGAAATTGAGGGGCAGACAGAGAGACAAGATGTGGAGGGGTGGAGGGAGGGAGGGAGGAAAGGGGGGAAAGGGGGGAAGAAGACAAATTTTCCTACTCTGTGTCTAGGACTGCTGCAATTAGACTGCTAACGGGCAGAGAGAGACGATTCTACACTTGCTTGACCGATACCATCGACCACCCAGCGACACTGTGGTAATCCCCAGAGAGTTCAGTCATCTCGAGGGCAAAGCGGGCAAAGCGGGCAAAGCGGCTCTCTGCGATACCTCTCACAGCTGGGTGACGATAACCTCTGCGACCAGTATCCCACATCTGTCAGTTTCTGCGAGGCGTGACCGACCGAAAAAAGGGTGTAAGGAGGATGAATTCCGATGAAACACGTCTTCCCCGCCTGCGAACAGTGACCCCTGCCGCTGTTGACGCTGCTCTCAACAGAATTGCTGATTAATCGCTATTCTCTCTCTCTCTCTCTCTCTCTCTCTCTCTCTCTCTCTCTCTCTCTCTCTCTCTCTCTCT